TAGTGCAAGTGCCAGACGGATCACCGCCATTTGTAATAATCATGTCTCTATGCTGGGCTTAAGCTTCTGGCCCATAATGATTCCCATGTTCAAAACTTTGACCAGAGTAAACTTAGCCGAATAGCATCTGTGTACAATGTACACTGCTCTCTTTGGGATTAAGTGGTGAGGCCTCAATCTCTAGAGTGCAAATCTTGCACCACTGTCTGATAACACTGTCTGTTAAACGCTCTCACTAATCTCTAAGCCACACAACTGCTGACTAAGCCTTGAACCTTAACATGGTCATAAGCACACATCAACTTCAAGTGCCTTAATCCTTACCCTCCGAGTACAGGATTAAAAGTTACATATCCTTTACTGGATGTTTCAGAACCAACATCAACATTTGTTGGCTGTTTTGGTTTTTCTAGGTAAATTTACATCCAGTAGTTCGCCATTTTGGCAAACTACTGGACGTAAATTTGCCTAGAAAAACCACACAACAGCCAGGGGCTGTTGGGGTTGGTTCTGCAACGTCCTGTAAAGGATACGCAACTAACCTAGTTCGCCACTGCTTTCTGAATGTTCCAACTCTCGGTACCACTGTTGAAACCAATGCTAGACGGTCTGCTGCCAAATCGCCCGCAGCTGGGATCAAACTCAGCACCCCAACATTAGGAATCACATCCGCAACACATAAACCACAGATGCCGACACAGTAGGGTAAGTAAGGGCAATTACTCAGTGTGGTTATTAAGGGTACCTTATTTATCGTTCCTTTGGGCAGACTGAATGGGGTATTTGGAATTGTTTTTGAAATTAAATCACTGAACTGTAAACTAAAATGTTGAATTCAGAATCAACATCACAGCACTGGGGAAACTCCTATAAGTGCTCAGTCCCCATCTTCAACGGCAAGCGGTGAGTTCAATTTCGATGGTGCCAGTAACCGTCTGATTGCATATCCGTTTCATTATAAAATGAATCATCGCCGGAGCTACGGAGTGAATGCTCTGTGCCTGATACCATCTTCAGGTGGCAACTGAGAGAATGGGAAGAGCAGAAGACGAGGAAATGGACAGAGAAGACTGTAAACTAAAAATAAGGTGGGAAGAGGGGGCATACATGGGTACAATTGGACATTTCAGCAGCAGTCTTTATAGACAAGAAAAACCAGAACTGGCTGATAAAGGCAGCTGCCAAAATATCCTATTATTCCTCTGAGTGTGTGTCCCCCACCTTTCCCAACTTCGTTAAGTTTCTTGGTCACAGTTCACTGCATTAATTTCTAGATAACTAGCTTGACTGCAGCTGCCCCTGTTTTTAATCACTTTGGGAACTGTTCTGTTGGTTTGGCAGCCATGATAGTAAATGTCCAGCCAAGCCTCAGACAAATATTTGGTAAGACACCTGGCACTATGCTGACCACATCACCTACTGACTGGTGTTTATTCTATAAGCATATGGGACAGGCACCATATGATCAATGCACCCAAAGGTGCGCAAAGTCCTTTATTTGTTGACAAGATACCAGACTATACTCATGGCAGCCATGGGGATCGGTGCTGGAGCTATGGTGGTTGTGCTTTGTGTGACACTTTCGGCAGGTGGCCAGCTGTTCTGCGGATAAAAGCCTGGTGCAATAAAGTCAATCTTCTCTACTCCACTCTTAGCAGATAAATCAAAACAGAGGTATGGATCTGTCATGAAGACTTCAGACATAAAGGAACACAATGTTAACTGGCAAATATGGGAGCTGTAACACAAGACAAAACCATGGAGGTAATATATTGTGGAACTAATACAGAAATGTAACATAACCAGACACAGACGATAACAACTGACAAAAACAATAAAAACAACAATATTATCTTACACTTAGCTTCGATGTACATAATAAATTCTGCAAGGCAACACTGCCATGTTTTCAGGCCAAGAAATTGGAAAATATAAAATATCTGTCAGCTTTACAGAAAATATAAATAAATAAACCAGGGACATAACTGTGACAAGCATTCATCAGCAAACAAGAAGAAGAAAAATACGACAACATGAAGAAGGGAACAATTCTAAAGTAACTACAACCCGTTACAAGTAGAAGTACAATATCTTTGAGGTCGCTACTTTAGCACTATATCCTTCTCAGTTGGGCTGTTTTTTTTTTTTTTTTGCTGATGAAGTCTTGTCACCTAAAATCCTTGATTTGTTTGTTGTAATTATATTCTGTAAAGCAGACACGTTTTTTTTTTCATTTCGAAAGTCTTTCTGCAGCTCAACCTATTTTACATATTGCATCATGATTTCATGTACAGATTTTGGAGCTTTGAGTCTTTAAAAAAAAAATTGCTGCTTCTCCTTTACAGGTAACTGCAGCAGCAATCCCAGCATTAGTTGACTGTTTGTGATTTTACTAGGCAATTTCACCTTCAGTAGTTTGCCATTGCCTTCTAATGTGTTTCACACTGACAGTCATTTAACATACATTTAGGAATTTGTTTTCATGTGTCGCTGGGTAGCACTTGTTTGAAACCTTGTCGATGAGCACAAGTATTCTTTCTTTCCCTATGAGCTTCTGAGTGTGGGGGGGGGGGATAACTGCGTGCTCGGGACTGCAACAGTTAACGGTTGCAAATATATAAGGTTTTAGACTAAGGAGAACCCTCTGGGACAAAACCCTCATTGTGAAAAAAAAAAAAAGTAAATACAGAATTTGTCAGAGCAAAAAGCACACACACTGCTTTTGATACAGACTTCTGATAAAGGAAGCTAACTGCAACAGTGGCTATGGCTCTAGAAGCAGACAATACAAGACTGGCACGTACACCTATCAGATACATAAATACAATATACAAGTAGAATAAAATTCACATGGGCACGATATATTTCATGTTGAATACTCAAAATGTTTTCTAAATACTACAAAATGAACCAACCACAAACAATAATACATTTACAGATCTCTCATTCTTTAAATATCCTGGTGGGGTCACAAGGAAACCGAATGATACATTTCAATATTATAGATGTTTATCCCTACCAAATAAATGTGGAAATTGTAACTGGGTCTATACTGGGCATCATAAAGATAATACAATGACAAGTTAGGTGTACACTGGAAATTATTGCCTCAAAGGAATGATAATGCGGTCTACATTGGAAACTGTAGAGGAAAAAAAAACCGAATGACAATGTAGTTGTACACTGAAAATTATAACTAGACTGACGTTGGCATACACTGGAAATCACAGTTGGAATGACAATGTTGCTTGTCTACAGCAGAAACGTAGCCAGGATGACAATTCTGGTCTACACTAGAGTATCACATCTAAAATGACATGTTGGTCTACACTGGAATATAGCCAGAATGACAAAGCTGGCCTGCACTGGAACATAGCCAGAATGACAAAGCTGGCCTGCACTGGAATATAGCCAGAATGACAAAGCTGGCCTGCACTGGAACACAGCCAGAATGACAAAGTTGGTCTAAACTGGAACACAGCCAGAATGACAAAGTTGGTCTAAACTGGAACACAGCCAGAATGACAAAGTTGGTCTACACTGGAACACAGCCAGAATGACAAAGTTGGTCTACACTGGAACACAGCCAGAATGACAAAGTTGGTCTATACACTGAAACACAGCCAGAATGACAAAGTTGGTCTACACTGGAATACAGCCAGAATGACAAAGTTGGTCTATACACTGAAACACAGCCAGAATGACAAAGTTGGTCTACACTGGAACACAGCCAGAATGACAATTTGGTCTATCTATAATGGAATAAGACAGGCTGACAATGTTAATTAATCACTGTCATAATCGGGGCCATAAAGACAATCTAATTTCAAACCATGTTTAGAATGACAATGTTACAAACACTATAAAACCAATACAAACACAGCAACACTATAAGTTATATTAATATAAAACCATAGGCTAAAATCATGATCTGATTAGAAAAAGAGCCACAAAATGTATGCATAGCAAGTGGACCAACAATTTCCCCTCTAAACAATGTGGAATGTATGTTCACAAACAAGCACTGTCATATAGTTAGTACAAAACCGACTGGTAACTTCAAAAGAGGATGAAGCTATTGAAGAACAAACAATTGAGGTGTCCATGTTTTACATATTAAAATGTATCTTTTCTTCACATATCCAAGACACATATTTTTCATTTTTAAATATTTGACAGCTGTTATTAGCTTGTATTTTTGTTTTTTCTATACAGGAGAGCTGTCATTAGTCTGTTTAGTACCAGGTGAGTCTCTACATGTTAATGATTACTCTACATGCTAGTCATTTTTGTTTTCAATACTGAAGAACTATTAGTCAATCTATAGTAAGAAAAGAAATTATGAACCTTAAAAAAAACATTTACACTGTCCACAATCTTTGTGTACTATGTTATTTTCTGCAATTCTAAATTGTTTTTTCTAACTTATTCAGTATCAGTCACTATATACATATTTATTTAATACTCTATACATTTCTTAGTGGTTGGTCATGGTTCGATTATTCAATACATTTCTTAAATGGTTAATGTAGTTCAATTATTCTATACATGCTATGCATTTCTTAGTCGGTTAGCTCTATTTCCGATTTCATGGTAATGGGTCGCCCTAAAATTGCTCCATTCCAGTGCCAGCAAACACTGTAATAAAATGTCTATCAACGTCTGATGTGAAAAATGAAATAGATAGCAGTCCACACAAAACTAACAGCCCTGTTTCTGTGATGTTCGTCCATCCTATTTCAGTTATTTTAATTCATTTGGCCCCATTTTGCATTATTCTAACAAACTAACGCTCAAATATTCTTACTTTATAATACAACAACTTTGAAATGGAAAATGTTGAAGGAACAACCACCTGGAATCAAAGCAGTTTAGGAGACAACACCTGTGACTTGCCAGTCTGTACCTGCACATGAAAATGGGCTTCTCCAAAATATGTTCTGTAAAACTACCTGGCCTTATGAAATCCTGCACCCACTTATGCTCACACAATTAAACACTCAGCAACAACTCCCGCCTTGGTTGCCTCCACTGCCTCCAACTTTCAAGCCCTGGCCAGCTGGCGCATGCTGTGGTCCAATTTTAATACCATTGGCCTGATTTTAGTTGGAAGTATAAGCCAAAAATAATCATGTTATTTTAAAACATGGAATATTTGATGTAACTGTTAAAAGTAATAGGTCTTTAGAGGATCGACTTCAAAGGACCAGGCCCCCGTGTGGGTTCCGGGGCCCCATTGTGGGGAAAACAAGAATAGACCCACTGCCTCCCCAAAAGCACGTCGTAAGAGTCGACTAATTGGGGAGCTTCCTTTGAAGACGGAGTGCATCTGCCGGAGAGGCAAGGAAACAACAGTCTGTATTCAAGAGAATGAGATCTGTAAAACTGATGCACATGCAACACTCAGGTTCTGGAGCAGGACTGCAGTTCAGTAGTGGACGAGCAACCAGAACTTTCCGCTAGAGTGTACAGCTGGTGAACGCAAAGAAGAAGAAGAAAGGACCAGGTTCTTTCCCATATGGTTTAGGTTCTCTCCACAGAGCAGCTGATCACTGGTGAGAGTGCTGCACAAAGCCTAAACCTAGTTATGAGTTAAGAACCGACATCACAGCACTTGAGAACATTCCCAACAGTGCTCCATCCCCATCTTTCGTAGCCAGTGCAGAGTTTTATTTCAAATGGTACAAGTAAAAGTCTCATCGTCTTTTGTCCTTCTCTGGACTAGTCTTCTTCCAGAATCCGTGCGTACATCCATTTGGCAGATCTGGCTTATGTGTATGCAGACTGTTGGTTCTTTGCCTCTCAAGCAGATGTACTCAGACTTTCAAGGAAGCTCCCAATTAGTAAACTCTTACGCCATGCTTGTTGGGGAGGCAATAGGTCTACTCTTGTTTTCCCCACAATAGGGCCCCGGAGCTCACAGGAGGAAGTCTGACTGTATGCCTATCTCACCCCTCCACTGAGTGTTGAGTGTCAGCCAGATCCCCCTGGCCACTCCTCACTGAATCATTCTCTTCAGACCAAGATGATCTTTGTGTGTGCCTCTGCACTGTTTACTCACTCCCAACGGGACCTTACAAAATCTAGCCTGTCATGCATCAATTTACCAGTAAGTAGTGCAGAGCCAGTCAATCTAACTGCCTGTTCATTATCCAACACGCTGGCATCCCTGGACAAATATCCAAAGGATGTTAATGACCTCAGAAGCGATGCTGGCCATTCTGCATGGAGCTTACTTATCTCCACCTTTTTCAACATGCTCTGTGAGTCAGTTACAATCACGACATGTATGTGCATCTGGGTCTCAAGCCAGTTTGAGAAATTATATAGCTCTAGCAACAATCCCAAGGCATCTCTAAAACACCTATACTTGCAAACTGAAGTACAGAATCCAAAAATCAATCCCACAACCTTAGGACACAAAGCAAACTTGCCTCACTATTCTGATAAATAAACAGAGAGGGGAACCATTTGAGGCTGTTAAATTTTATGAATTAATCAAGTAACAGAAAGTATTGTGAACGGCGTATTATGAATTAATCAAGTAACAGAAAGTATTGTGAACGGCGTATTATGAATTAATCAAGTAACAGAAAGTATTGTGAACGGCGTATTATGAATTAATCAAGTAACAGAAAGTATTGTGAACTATTCTGCCACAAAGATCACTAAAATAAATGCCGACTAGTAGTTCTATTCTATTAAGCATTAAGAAGATCAAATTCAGTCTCTGGAAATGTGGATAAAAAAAAGAATGGGTTTGATTTCAAGGACTAGGAATTAAAAGTTAGCAGAAGGAAAAGTAAAAAAGACATTTGGAATATTCTGGTCACATTACAAGACATAACATTAAAGACCACACTGGAGAGAACAATCAAAGGCAAGGAATCAAGATACAGACAGTGAAACAAGTGGGAAGGTAACAGATGGACAAACAGCAGTCTGAAAAAGTATACATCCAGGGCGAGAGACAGAGTGCTGGAGATCCAGTGCATTTAACCTTAATTTAGAGACGGCATTGATTCCGATGTATTTTTGTTGCATCGCCATCTCTTTAATACAGATACCTAAATCACCCACTGAGTCCTGACTGGTCTATATAAAATGCTGAATGTTGAATCTTATAAGAATCGACATTACAGCACTTGGGACACCCCCATAATCACTCCGTCCCCCATCTTCAGCAGCAAGCAAAGAGTTCCAAGTCCGAGGGTACCATAACTGTATATCCGTCTCGCCCTTTCTTTGAGTGTTTAGAGTTGGTCAGATCCCCTCATAACTCCCTGCAGTGCCCTTCTCCTCAGAATAATGATCTATATAAATATGAGCCAAGCATCGTTAGCCCAATGCACAAATGACATAAAAAGGAGTTTTCTACTTTTACTACAATTAAGATGGCTCATAACCTAACATATGAAATTTAACTATTCAAGAAACATAATAAAGGATGAAGAAAAAACATACCTCATTGTTTATGTCAAAGACTCCATCTTGAATCTTTTGATAGATTTCTTTAGCTGTATTTATAAATGCCTGAGAAAAACAACAAATCAATGAACAAATAAATCTGACTTACAACAAACGTTCAAAAGAAACTCTGTAATTCTGAAATACATTTTCAACATTTGTGGACTCAAAACACTGGCTACTTTAAAACAGAACTTCTCGGGATAGAAAAATTTAAATAATCACAGTATGGTACATAAAGAGTTATGGCTGCTTAAATTGATTAGTAAACACAGTTGTTAGCAGCCTGGATTCAAATCACTCTCAATGCAATGAACTTTTTTACAGACCAAATAACTTCAAAATAAACATGTATCTCAGATAAGAATGTTGAATTAAGAATCAACATCACAGCACTCGGGACACTCCCATAAGTGCTCAGTCCCCATCTTCAGCAGCAAGCGGATAGTTCCAATTCCGATGGTGCCAGTAACCGTCTGATTGTATATCCGTCTGATCCTTTCCCTGAGTGCTGGGCGTCGGCTAGATCCCCTGGCAACTCCTCGCAGCACCATTGTCCCCAGACCGTAATGATCTGTCTGCGCCTCCGCACTGTTCACTGTTCTCAGATAAGGATAAGAGGAACACATTGGGACACAGTCAGGAAGGAGCAGTCAAGGTACTAGGATAGGAACATCAAGCCAGAGAGCTGGTGCACATACCCCAATTTAAGCTGCGCAAATGAACCAGACCACAATTATAATCAGTGACTGTTGGCAGCAAGTTGAATGTAGTCGAGTTTTTAATTCTTTTCTAGAATGGAAAAGTATCTCAGAAAAAGTCATGTTAAGACAGAAAGCATCTTACATCATCCACAAGGTGCCACTGTCACCTTTCAGTCTTTTCCAAGATCAGCTATGGCAGAGGATGAAGTTTCTCCGCCCCATAGTACAAAGCATGGGCAGTTATAAAACAAACCATGGATAATCAATGCAGCATCATACCTCTCTCAGTCTGCCTGATTTACTCCACAGGAGAGGTAACAACAATATATTTCGAATATCGCACGCTGCAGAAGCTGGTGAAACAGAAGAGCTGAGCTCTGTCTGTCATAGCTTCCACCCTAGACCAGATGCCGACTAAAACAAAGGTCAATAAATTTTTTTTTAAACGTGGGGCTAGTGCCATATTTTCAGTATCCCTGTGTGAGTTCTTCTTCTCCATCATTCACCCGAGTGATGTACATGAGTTGTACCTGTTTACAGCATAGCTGCAATATTTCTAGGACCCACTTTTAGAGGGGGGAAATCCCCCGTGTGGGTTCCGGGGCCCCATTGTGGGGAAAACAAAAATAGACCCACTGCCTCCCCAAAAGCATGTCGTAAGAGTAGACTAATTGGGAAGCTTCCTTTAAAGTCGGAGTGCATCTGCCGGAGAGGCAAGGAACCAACAGTCTGTATTCAAGAGAATGAGATCTGTAAAACTGATGCACATGCAACACTCAGGTTCTGGAGCAGGGACTGCAGTTGAGTAACGAGCAACTGACCCCGCCAGAGTTTACAGCTGGTGAACCAGAAGAAGAAGAAGAGGGGGGAAATGAACTGACCCTCTGCCCACAGAGCGCCCCCCCCCCCCCCCCCCATTTCACACAACAAATCAGAGTTTGCTGAAATTAGATGGGTTGAGCTAAAAAGTGCAGATGTCACATCCTAGCTGTAAACCGCAAGACACCACACCAACATACCTTTTTAGGACTAACACAGAAGAAGAAAAAGAAGGAGGAGGAGAAGGAGAAGAAGCAGAAGAAGGTTTGTTCAAAAAGCTTCAAGATCCGGAAAATGGACATATATTCCTTTGTTCTTTACTTTACATGTTTTACAAATTGAATTTAACTGTCTTCTTCTTCTTAGCATTCAGCGGCTGTAAACACTGGCAATAAAATTCTGGTCGTTCGTCCACTCCTGGACTTTGGTCTTGATCCAGAACTTGAATTTTGCATGCACATCCATTTTACACATCTGGCTTCTTTGTATGCAGCATGTTGGTGCCTTGCCTCTCAGGCAGCTGCACATCGACTCTGAAGGAACCACCCCTAATTGGTCACCTTCTAGGACATGCTTGTCAGAGGATCAGTGGCTTTACTCTTTGTTCTGCAAAACGGAGCCCCGGAACCCACATGAGGAAATTTAACTGTCAAGAATGGGAGTCAGCTTTCCCATTTAAAAAAAACAACAACTGACCTCTTCAACATTTGCAGCAGTCTTGGCTGAAGTTTCCATGAATATTAATCCATGCTCTCTTGCAAAAGCCTCACCCTCTTCCTTCTTCACCTCCCTTCTTGCTTCTAAGTCGCTATGTTGTGAGGAAAAAAGCATTTTCTATAAACATGAATCACAGAGGCAAAAACTAGACATTTAGAAAATACAATTTAAATTAATTCAATATATATATATGTTTATTGTTTATTGGTAGCTTTTCGTATTTCCAGATAACAGTGCCAAACTGTGCTAATCATAGCTCATGGTGATAGCGAGTGTGGCTAGCAAGAAGCACTCACATTAAGTAATCTTCCACAATCAAAACATAAGACTGTTGCCATTGTATGAGTTACGTGCTTCTCAAACTCTCAGCTCTTCACCTATCTGCAATCATTTTTTGCCTTGTCCCTATTTCCTCTCTGATTTGTTCCTCTTCACACAACACGATACAGTTAACTACAGTTACCACCAAAAGTTGCACCTACCTTTTGTTGCCAATGAGCATGATGACCATGTTGGAGTTGGAGTGCTGTCTAGCATCTTCCAGCCATGTGGTCAAATGAACGAATGTGTCACGTCTGAAAGAAAAGTATGATCAATTAATTAGTATCAAATATATGTAGGAATTACTTCTCTGCTTATCTGAGGATGTCAACTGCTTTGTACCCATTCACAGCATGGCTGCGATAACTGTGCATTCTGACCGACAATTTCTTCAGGAATTTGTGGCCTGGGTTGGTCTTCCCGCCTATAAGAATTATTAAAGCATGATGCATGGTGCAATTATTTCACAATATATAATGGCTGTGGCAGATAAATGTCTAGCAACACCGCTTGTTAGTTATGTGTTCGTATCACCATCAAAGAGGGGATTCTCTCAAATGAACCTGAACTAACAGGTTGATGTAGTTTAAAACAGGTATCAGAAAATGTTTAAGGAAGTAAAAGCGGTCAGCGTGATACTGACCATATCACCCACCTAGTCTAGAAAATTATAAGCCCAACAAAATATGTCAAATATGCTGCAAGGTGAGAACAAAGGTTTTTTTATTTACTTATGTCTTTTAGCAGAAAGGCTGTCATCATTATGTGCTCATCTTCATTTTGGTCGGCCCCTGCCCCTCCTTCCTGGTACCATGCCTTCTGCCATAATTTTTCCAATCCGTCGTTGCGCTTGATATGACCAAAATATTTCAGCTTCCGAGACAGAATGCTGTTTAGCCAATATTCCTTGATGTTCAGATCTTTAAAATTGTCAGTAGAAAAGCTGTAACAGTATTAAAATGTTTTAACCCATTATCATATCATCACGCCACCTTGGCTGGCAGCTGGTCTAGGCGGGAAGCCTAGGCGGGGTACCACGGAATGTATTCCATTTAATGCTTCACCCTGTTTTTGTTGATTACTCCCTCCCTATATCTTTATTTATGTCTGAAAAAAAGGTAATCATGTTTATAAATAAATTTGTTTTTAAAGAATTTATCAGTGACCTGTGGAAAACTGTTCATCTAGGATATTTTTATCAAATTCTGAACAGGGTCATGAACCTTTTTATTTTTTACTCCAGGGTGAAAAGGTTAACACTTCACACCCTTTCACTGAATACCATGGACTGCTGTTGGCCCCTTTTTTTCATTCCAAATGACAGTATTACACTGTACTATAGGAGGTATAGAACAATTTCAACTATATATAGACATGAATGATACAGGTATTCAGATAATCATAGTAAGTTTAAAGGCAAAAAAGACTGACTTCTGTGAATCAGGTGTAAACAATGCAGCCTGATACTCTGCAGCTCAAGCAATGACTCCTAGGGGTCTCCCTTGGTATAGATACAGAAACACGGGGGAGAGTTGCAACAGACAGAAATTCCTGGAGATAACATGTGCGAAACTGACAGGTACTCCTTGAGCACAATCTGAATGAACTTTCTGAGGACAACAAGCACAAGTATAAAATGCAGTAATTTGCTGCAGAATCTGCCTTGTCTTACTGTCACATCAGACTATACCGTCTCCAGTGGCGCTCTCTTGCGCCTGCCCCGCAGCACAGCATGTGTGAATGTTGGATTAAGAATCTACATCACAGCACTCGAGACACCCCCATAAGCACTCTGTCTCTATCTGCAGCAGCAAACAAAGAATTTCAATTCCAGTGGTACCAATAACTGTCAGCAGGAGCGAAAGGAAGCCTACTATTCCACTGTTACGTTATGTGCGTGTAATTAATTTAGACTGACCTAGTTATGTCATAAACAAGAAGAGCTCCAGCTGCACCGCGATAGTAAGATCTGGTGATTGACCTGAATGATTCCTGGCCAGCCTGTGGTTACACAAAAGTAGAATAATTGTTGTTTATTATTTAACACATGTCACTGACCAAATTTGTTTTTAAACAACACACTTCTTCACTTCTATCGTTCGCCTGAAATAAGTTGTCTATAGCAGCAATTTTGTCTCTCATATAAATTTCGCTGTTGTTCAAGTTCATTCAGTGATCCATCGAGTTTGTATTCCACTGTTGTTCTTTCTGGCCAATAGGTTTGCCTCAATGTGTCATATTCGGTGCAGTCCTACAGTACATGTTCTGTTGTCTGGCACAACTTTTCACATGTGCACATGGCTGATACACCTATCTTGAATGGGGCACTGAGTGGTCTCGAGGTATGGTGTCCGCCTCGAGTGTTGGAGGTTCTGGGTTAAAGCCCCGGTGAAGGCTGGGATTTTTTTCATGTGGACTTCTAGTAATTTCCCCTGGTCTCTGGGTAGCAGGATTGGACGCCTGTGTGTATTCTTGTGCATGTAAAAAAAATCCCTTGTCAGTTGGAAATCAAGACAAATAGTCTAACGGTGCTGCCTGACAAAATCTGGAGTTAAAAATCTACCCAAAATATATCAGGATCCTCGCCGGTGCAACCGAATTCGGGTATTAGACTGAGATTTTTCAGACTCAGGCTTAAGTTAGAAGAAGAATGGAGCACTTATGGGTTACACCCGTGTGCCATGATGTTGGTTCATCGAATAAACAGAAACATAAAACCTATCTTGAATTTTTATTTACATGTGGGTGCGTAAATGATTGTGTACTGTTCAAAGGCGCAGGAAAATGACTTGTTCTGATCTGTCCATTATACTATACTAGAGTAGCTGTCATGTGCTGCGGCTGGTGGCTTCCTGATTGATTTAATGATACTTTTCTTTTGGTGTTATGTGACTGGTACATCAGGCTGCTCTTTTGATTGCCTGGGTTTCTGCATCATAGTTATGGCAGTACTTCCCAGTTAGTACACTGGACTTATCCCTAGTACCTTTTGGGAATTCTATGTACACTCTCGCACCACCATTTCTAACTGCATTTTGTGCAGACCCATCTTGTGGGTCTTCTTACTAATAACTGAGGGTGGCCATTCTGTGTTGTATACTGTCTTGCTCTTTCTTATCAGATATTCCTTTAACATTTGTCTGGATATGTACTGCTAGTTTGAATTTCTCTCTCTATGGGGTTTGTTCTTGAATACTTTAAAGTGGATAACCAATTTCAAGAAGGTCAGTAGTTTTTCTGAATAGTCTGAAAGAGATATTCGTTTTTCTTAGGATCACCATCTGTAAACTGCGATGGAAATTTATGGTTTGTCCACTCCTGGAGTTAAGTCTTGATCCAAAACTGTAATTTTGCATGCACACATCCGTCTTACAGACCTGGCTTATTATATGTAGACAGTTGGTTCCTTGCCACTCAGAAAGACTGTATTCCAACATTGAAGGAAACATTCCTAACGAGTCATTCAACATGCTTGTTAGGGGGGCAGGGAGGTCTAACCTTTGTTTACAAAAACTGGGGTTCTGAACCAACTTGGGGGGAGACAGCTTTTTTTTTACTTTTCTTCTGACCTTAAAAAGGGTGAATGGCATACTCTTGTGGTTTACAGCCAGGCTGTGATGTCTGGACATCTGATTTCAGCAAACTGTTAACTAATTATCTTTTATGACATGCTTGTAAAGTGGCAGTAAGTTCATTATAGAATGACACCCGCAAACATACAGGGGGCATTGTTTATAAAACTGAATGTTACTGAGAACAACTGTTTTTAAAACCAAACATTGTTGCTTTTGTTACCAACATATATTTCCATAATAATTCTATAGAAACTCTATCTATGGTCATATTATGAAAAGAAAAAAGGAAACTGGAACATGTTGTGACCACTGGAAAGATGTGCAGAAAGAGAGACAGAGAAAGACAATGCAAGAAGACTCTTGACAGCCTTTTGTCGTGGCATGGGGAGGTGTCAACACACAAACTCACACACGCAGTTGCAAATCACAGACTGTGGAAAGGCATGATCACCCATGACAACTTGACAAGGCACCTAATGATGATGATGATGATATCTATGGATTCAATTTTTTTTTTTAATTACAATTTAAATTTGCTTTGAAACATCAACAAAAACATATAGATAAATGTGTCTGCACTTCAAAAATATCTCTCAATTAATGTTCTTAGAATGTATCTAGCACTTTTTGTACTAGTTTCCTGAAATAATTCACACTGCTCCTGTCCTATTTCAAGTCTTATTTTGTTGCATTATTAATACAAATTTCCTAAACAAAATCAGACACTATATGTAGCTCTTCCCATTACGGTGATAGAATATGTAAAGCTACATGTCTAACGTGTGTGTGTGTGTGTGTGTGCATAGTGTATGTATTTTTGCATGAAAATCTGAAGGAATGCACTGCCATCCATGCTTTTTTATATTTTTCATTTACAAACAAGCCATGCATTTTGATATATGAAGATGATATGCTTGATATATAATTGATGTGTGAAAGATGACTGTTTGAAAGGGTTGAAAATAGGATGGGCCTCTGTGCCCAATTAGTGACCCTTTGGAAGTAAAGTTAGTTCATTCATCCATCTTACAGATCACACTGAAACTAACTTTAACATATAGCTTTCTGAATAATTAGTAAGAAGATTTTTTGAGACCACATGAAGAAAATATTCTGAAACCTTGACAAGTGTAGATGGCTGCAGAGAATTTGATGACTGAATGAATGAATCAAGAATTGAATATCACTGCACCCTGGACATTCTCACATATGCTCTGTCTCCCTCCCCAGGAGCCAATGAAGAGTCAACATGCTACGGTTAGTACCAATTGCAACCTGATTAAAAGTCTGCCTGTATTTCCCCCTCAGTGTTGAATATCTTCCAAAACCCCCCCCCCCCCCCCCCCCCCCCCCCCCAGACAGCCTTTACCACATCCGCTTTATTTGTTGATTATGGTGGTGATGTCTGTCTTACTGTGCAATTTTAAAAGTGTCACTACACAACATGATGCCCGTGTGCACATTTCATAACACAATGCTTGAAAAACCACTTACAGTATCCCATATCTGCAGTTTGATCTGTTTACCATCAATGGTAATCATTCGAGCACCAAACTCCACGCCTGAAATGTTCAAAAAGCTTGTTAACAAAACTGAAGGACTGTTGTTGGTGGCTGTGTGTTTGTATATTATGTGTGAGCACATACATACAAGCATGTATGTTTGTGTGTTTTCACAAAACAGATTTTCCTTTGCATACTGCCAATCCTAAATACAACAACAAGAAACAAGATCAGAAAGACGATATCATGCATGCATGACAGATAAAAAAGACATGCATGCAAATACACCCATACATACATATGCACATACATACCTACATATATAACTACATACAAACACATATAAATACATATTCACAGATGATGCATGCAAATAGATTGTCAATTTCTGCAATGCTGTCTTTTCGATTAATCTAACTGTGTGTTTCAGAGCATCTATGGACATGCCCAATGTGCCATGATGTTGATTCTTTAATTAGTTATCAGTAAACATAGTTTGTCACTGCTGTTTGAGATGGGGTTGAGAATACCCCGTACTTGACTGTGAGAGAAATGTCTGATAATGTTATGATGTTGTACTGAATCAGGGTATGGGGAAAAAAAACTCTCTGGAGCAAGGAAATGAAATCATTTAGCTGCACTGGCAATTTTGCGGACAAAACACTGTGCCATCCGAATTCCGATTACTGGTTAACACTTATAAAAATGAAACAGACAAGCTATGAACAGTCATATGTGCTTCTTCATGTTCACCGGCTGTTAACTCCGGTGGAAAGTTCTGGTTGTTCTTCCACCTCTGGACTTTAGTTTTGTTCCAGAATCTGAGTGTTGGTGAAAACCCATTTTACAGATCTGACTTATTTGTATGCAGATTGTTGGTTCCTTGCCTCTCAGAAGATGCACTCCAACTTTGAAGGAAGCTTTCACCCCCCCCCCCCCCCCCATTAGAGTCGACTTTTAGGACATACTTGTTGGAGAGGCAGAGTGGGTCTTTTCTTGTTTTACCCACAATGGGGCCCTGGAACCCAAACAGGGGAAAACAGGTGGACTATTTCTTTCTTTCTTCAACAGCACACTGTGTTGCAGTTTACAGCTAGGCGATAATATTTGCACCTTAGCCAACCAGATTCAGGTTCAGCAATCCATTAATTAGTCAGCTTTTAAAATATGCTTGTTCATGTACAGCCGGGTCTATTCACTGTAACCCAAAATAGAGAATATACATGTGTACAGGCACAGGTTACCCACCTATAGTGAGATCATGGACGGGCTGGAATCTTTTGTCTGTGAACTGTAGAAGCAAGCATGATTTACCCACACCTGTAGAAATGGGATATATATACGTTAAAATATCCCGCTTTCAGACCATTGTGACATATACTGGGGATATGGTTGTAGGTCAATGCTTTCACCAACAAATGGCACTTGATAAAAGATGTGGGCAGTATCATGCCTTCAGAAGACAAAACAAATTACTATACAGACCTCCTTTATTTAGGAGAGCCATGGTGGAATATTATGCTAGGACAAATCTTTTGACCTATCAGAGATGCAAACAGTGGGGCCTGGAGAGTAAGAAGCAACAACCAAACTCATAATCTGTATTAAATCTCCACTGATCACTGAGAGGTAAAAACTCTATACACAATAGAGCTGAATGGTCATAGACCACGAGGCAGACAAAGAAGATTATAGAGAGATAATGTCCAGAGAGACCTGCAAACACTTGGTGTCACCAACAGAAAAGAGAAGGCCAACCAGAGAGATGAGTGGAGGCGGGTGATATCTTCAGCAATGAACCTCAAGGATTTGGAATGCTGAAGAAGAAGAGAGGAAGTAAGTGGAATAATGGTTAGTGCCTCTCAAGAAAACGGTTGGAATTCAATTCTTTTTCTACCTTTCAACTCCCAATGCAGGACAGGACTTCGGCTAACACATACCAAGCTTTATGTAGATTTGTTTATGATCGGCTGGATATTTCTGCTCAGATGTTTGGTCATAAACAAATAAGTTACAGGACACTGAGCATTTGGACAACACACTCTAAATGAGCTAAAACTATTTCCCTCTATACTCCTTTTATTTACATAACTAACGTTTTAAGAAAAATTAAAATCTCGTTTTAGAACTGATGTACAGACTTGAATGAGGTAGCGTTGGATTGAATTTTTCAATGCGGCTATATTCCGAATAACGGTCCCAAATTATCTAGGCCGAAAATATACCCTAACAGGGCCTCAGTCACATGTCAATTGCCGCTCAGAAGTCCGCAACTGACATGTGACTGAGGCCCTGTTAGGGTATATTTTTGGCCTAGATAATTTGGGACCGTTATTCTGAAGATAGCCTTCAATGCCTATCCAACGTTGCTAGCTTCATTTCATTATATAAAAACAATTATGGAAACTCAACTTTAGAATTGTAATTATAATTTAACAGGAAATAATAATAGTAAAAAACAAAACTGCCCCCCTCCCCCAATCGCCCCGTTTAGAATAACAGTAACACTGTTACTAACAGTACTACTAGTACTACTACTACTATACTAAGTGTCCACACGTCGTCTGCCATCCGTCAACAAAATTTGTTTGGGCAACATCAATTGTTAAAATCAAACAGTTCTGTGCTTCAAACACCTGATGTGTATTTACTTCGTATACGCATATAGATATACAACATCTAAACCTAAGAAAGAAGCAAACTATCCGCAAACCTGTGTCTCCGATAATAATGTACTTGAATAAATAAGCGTAAGACATGGTTCCCGTCGATGATCGTGTCCACTTTGATGATGTCAACTAGCCCGTGACGTCACACACACACTGAAGCGGAAGTAAATAAAGCCACCACACAAATATCACGTGACCCGCATCTGATTTACTGATTTCAGAATAGCGTACCGGGCATACCTACAGCTGCTCCGTCTCCCGCGCCAAATGTAGTAACAAAGCTATCTCCAGCTGTAAAAAGCCTTACTCTTAAGGTGTAAATGCTAATTGTTCCACCTCACGCTGATTATAAACTCGACGTTCTCTTCCTCTTATACATCATTGCTTGCCTGAACTACACCTAATTCTTCTTAGACATGTTATTTAATCGAACCTCGCGTATTTTTATTAGGATTCGTTCCTAATGGTCTTTCAAATGTCTCTTTTGTCCAGTACGAGTATTCCTGTAGCCAGAAAATACGCTCTTTCATTTCCTCGCAGTGGTACATATCCAGCCAATCTGTCTGACTGTTCTTTATCCACCACGCCGTTATTGCCTGGAGAAAAGATCCAAAGTATGCTCACTACCCGTGACCTTTTCCAGCGAAGCTTGCCACTCTGCTCGAAGCATCCCTGTCTTCACCATTTTTAGCATGCTTTCTGAGTCTGTTACAAACATGTGTATGCATCTTGTTCTCTTGCCACCGGAGAGCTGCAGTTATTTAAAGCTGCTATTTAGTGCTTTGGCAAACTTATGCTGCCACTATCAAACCTAGACTTTTACTAAAATTGCTGGGTGCAAAATCAAAAGAACAGAGATGAGGTATCTTAGAACAGTTGCTGGAATAACAAAAAGTGACAAAGTTAAGAAATTAGGCAGAGACTACGCCTGAAATCAGTCATATGTTAAAAACAACAATCAGGTGCTATAGTTTTGGCTATCTGATGACATCCCTCCACGCCATGAGAAAATACTGTCAAGAATGTTCTGACGCTGTCTTCCCCTCTTTCTTTTTCCATCGATCTTTCCAGTGATTCACAACATATTCCAGTTTCACCCTTCTCATAACATGACAAAAAATGATGACTGTCTCTTTCTGATGAAGACCACATAAAATATGGAATAATGGCATCAAGGGCAGCCAATGTATACAGCGCGTTAGAAATAGCACCTCACCAGCAAACACCCACCTCTGCCCCTCCCAACACTTCAATAAATTGATTAGTGATTAGAAAAGATTATAATCACAGCTCTCCAGACAGATCCATAGGTTCTCCGATCTCCTCCTTAAAAGCTCCACAAGTGTAAAACAACTGATGACGCCTGTTCTGTGTTGGTTAATAAAACGTCTTGTCCCCTTAGTGGAATGTTCATTTCTTGCAGCTCCACGCTGCACTCCCCTGTCCATCAGCCTAGACAAGGATATGGAGTCATGTCCTTTGGCGTGCTCCTCGGTACGTAAGTGCAGCGCATAGCATTGATATCATCACTTCTGTCCAGTACTCGGCCAGCCATAGCAACCGCAGTGTCAGCAAGATAATACGCAGGCTTGTTCCCTTTAACACCCGCATGACCTGACACAAAGATGAAGGTTAGGGCAGATAGTCGCAAATTCCTTAGTCTTGCAATCCATTCTTGCCTGATAAATCCTGCTTGGATTTTTTTTAAAGCATATTCATCGATTCACAAAGAATGCATACGTGTGTGAACTTTTGAGTGCCAAGCCATGCCAAAGCCCTTGTTATAGCCATAATTTCCATTGAAAGGTTACTAGTTGTAACAGCCAAGGCGCCATTCATCTCCTTGATGGTTTTTCCCCCCTCGAGCTTACTGTGAATGCCCATGCACTTCGGTTGCCTCTAATTACTGACCCATCTGTGTAAACTATAGCATCACCTTCACCTGTGTTTTCGTCAAACAGTGTTCTGACTAAAGTGTCAACACTGCCAAAATCTGCTCTCTGCAGCTTCCATCAAGTGCGATATGGACACTGTAATAATAATGTTTGGAGACAGATTGGCTGGATCTGCACCACTGAGAGGTGAACTGATGCATGACAGGGCAGATGTTTTCAAGGTCCTTTGGGAACAAGTAACAGAATCAATGGAGAAACAACATTATTATGGCCTGGAGAGAATGAGGCACCTGGGTGTAACCAGAGAGTTTGGCAGAATCGCTACACTCAGAGGAAAGGCGAGACGGACCTAAAACCAGATTGTGACCGGTATCATCAGTTTTGGAACTCTGCGCTGGTTGACTGACTGACTGACTTTCTACCCCACCAGGACATCACACAAGCGATAAACACCCGATGACACTAAGTGCCACCATGCGGGATGAGGATCGCCGTGGAGAGGTCTCAGAAACCGCGTTCAGACATTTGGCCATATGGCCTGCCTATATTGCGGCCCCTGGCAAAAGCCAGAGTAGGGCTTCAAATGACAAAAAATTTCGTCCTAAAAAGGACGAAATTGGATATTAGTTAGCTGCGCTGGTTACTGAAGATGAGGACGAGGCACACATGGAAATGCCCCGAGTGCTGTGATGTCAAATCTGGACTAACTGGAGAGGGAGGCATAATTATCTATTCAATTCCAAAATTAATGTCAGTAAGGCGGCAAACATGTTCGATGGCATCCTCAGCCCGACCAATCCAGGATTTGCCTCGTTTGAGTCTACTCTGTTTTTGCTTGAATAATTCCTCATAAACTTGGTGTCGATGGTCTGACATCATTTTGAGGACAATAAAAGTAACAGGGGGAATTGAAGAAGTAGAAGCAGAAGTCTAAGGGAGATAACCTGCATATGTATCAATACATTTTTCTATAGGGCTGTCAACTTGCTTTTGGAAATTAGTTAGCCACGACATTTTATTTGAAATCTGCCTAACTTGAACTTTCGAACATAGGTACGGATTCACTTGAACAAAAATCAAAATAGAGGACAGCCTTGCATTTTCAAGTATATTGTAGAAGCATTTTACCATCGTTTGAACCAGAAACAAAAATATTTGATCAAATTTAACGATCGTGATTGTTGCCCAATTTTTTTGTAAGAAAGAGTTTTTCGAGGGGAGGATGTGGTAAACCTGCAAGCTGCCACAACCTCCAAGTCCAAGTCCTTTTGAGAAAAAAAATAAAAGCTCGACCACGTTCAGACTGCTGCTAGCTAGCCTAGGCTGCTAACAGTCTCCGCCTATATTTGTGGTCTGGGTTATTTGCGTCACTTTCGTGACTGAATACTGGTGTTTGTGCCATTTCTGGCTTAATGTTTCCATCCGAATCAAACCGCTCGTCCTGTTGTCACTGGTGCATGTCTTCCTTCTTCATTCTTGGTGTTTCCTGTTTGTTCTGTCTCCCTTTGATCTGGCTAGGCGTATCTCGAAGGAGAGCGAGCTTCCAAACACAACGACCTTTCGGCCACCATTTATTGTTTTAAAATTTTGAGTATTTTAATTTTGCCAAAAAGTACTGAAAAACAGTTTTTGAATGTGAATAGTTCCGAAATGTGAAAATTTTCCGCGTGTGACCATAGTGGTCTTATAGTTGTCTTCCTGTAATATGAACGGGTTAGTCATGTAATGGATATGTGTGTGTGAGAGTTTGTGTGGAGTCTTAAGCGGGTCTAGTCGTCATGTGTTATTATGTGATCGGGTTGTGTTGATAGCTAAGCTCCGGTGTACGTAAATACCATATAACCGGACCGTCCAGCTCACGCTTTGAGATCCAAATGATCGGCGATGAGAAATTGTTGTGGCATGCTGGGCAACGAACTCAAGTGCTCTCTGTGGGAATGGGTTGGGGGGTTTAAACTCATAGTGCATCCGAAAGAGTTAGGGAAAGGTGGGGGGGGAAGGGGAGCGGGAGGCCATTCAGTCAATTCTCGTCGTTGCCGTCTTGCTAGATTCTAGCGTGGTTTTTTGCCGGGACTATGTGTATCACGTTACCAACCTTTGCTATCCTCCCAGTGATGGGGTGGTATTGGAGGTTATGCGTTCTAGTCCTGTCATTATCGAGTCACTTGTATTCCCTATTTGCTGTCAGTCATATTTTGTTATGAGTCCTGTCGGTCATGTGTATGTTGTATGCATGCTGTGGAGTGGGATGGTTTTGTTTATGAATCCCGGAGTATATGGACGCACCCAACTAGGTGTATGCGTACATGCACTCGAGTACTCATACATGCAGACAACACTACATATTTGTACGTCCTTTCATACTTATCCGTGTGTGCATACCTAATTGGCATTACGTACACACGCCAACTCTTTCATATGCGTTTACCAATGCCAGTACTTACATTCATAAAAAAAACGAGTACATCCACACGTAGTGATATTCACTCTTCCATGTCTTATGTGTTTTGTGTCGCTTTGTCTGTAATTTCGTTTGGTCGTGTCACTTTTAAGTTATGTCCCATTACTGGTATGTGACCTGTCCGGTACTGACGTATCATGTTTTGGTGGATTGTGTGCGTTGATGACGTTCTTGCTGCTTACACCCTTCATTCCATTTGTTCTCATTAATGAACAGACATACAGCAACACAGTTTATGGTTTCTTTGATTGCACTGTCATTCATACACTCACAAATATATAAGTATACACGCTCTCATATATATACACACATGCACACTCATACACACACATATACATGCATACAGTAATACATTTAAATCCATGTACTCATTCATCTGTACCTTTCGCACAACTATATTCCCACTGTTCCGTCCACACATGATTCCGTACCATCCACCTACATACACTGTGTCTTATGTATCCATCCTATACACAAATGCACTCATACTACACGCACTCATCCTTGTGTATGTGTCCATGTTCACATCTATGCACTCATCATACTTACACTATCTCTCTGACTCTAGGATGTTCGGGGTTACCATCTCATCAGTTCCTTCTGTTATACTGAGTAAATCCCTGATCTGGTCTTTTTAGTTTTGATTTGTTTTAATAAGGTATTGTTTAACCAGTTTTTGGATGTCTTTATTGCTATCTACATTTAAACATTTGTTTGCAGTAATTTGTTGTTTG